CATTCGCTCCATAACACGCACAGACATTTCCCCTTCCTTTTTAGGAGAAAAAATCTGCGTGTAATAGAGAGAAAAATACGGTATACAAAAACCATTTCCCTTCAATACTTATTGTTGATTGCCTTAGCTCATTCATTCCCTGCAATGCTCCACCTTCCTATCTTCTTCATTTTGACATCTGATTCCAGGTGAAATGGAAATGACTGCTTTATATTTTGCTTTGTTTTCAAACAGGTTAGACTGATGGAGGAGTCCTGCTTACCCAAGATCTTTTAAGAGCCACTGGATTGCTGCTTCACCCCCAGCTAGAGACGCCTTCTGCTTCTTCACCAAAACATCTGGATCGAAAGAATAAGCCATCGCAAAATGTTCCATGATTATACCAGCTCGTCCCTTGCAATAAAAGCAAATTTAAAAAACCACGTTCCCTCTTTTTCCAGTTTCCAGTTATCCGTCCTTGCTTATGCAGCCAAAATAGCACCTTGCCCTCATGAGACAGAGGTTTCAACCAGCACGATTGTGCAGAAGCAGAGCAGATCTGTAGAAAAGAACCCTAGAAGGAGAAAGGATTCTCCCAAAACAGTCTGTTGAGCCACAATGAGGATAGTGAAATATGACAAAATGGGAAGGGAGGTGTGGCAACCCCTCCAGCATATACCCTATAACCACCACGGGTTATGCTTTGGTTTTTCCGTGAGGCTAAACCTTGTAAACAGTGTTGATAAAACTAGTAGAAATCAGCAGCCAGATGTCACACAGAAGCAGCTACTGGGGACAACATGTTACGCTGCTCAGAGATGCACTGGTTGCCAATTTTCTATTATCCGGGTTCGAGGTTCTAAACAAGGTCTATAGCTGAATGAAGAGGGTGGAGATGCTCCTTCAGGTATACTGGGCCAAGGCCGTTGAGATTATTAAAAATCTTTCTAGACAGCATGCAGAATGCTGGAGAAGAGGAGGAACCGGGGAGGTAGCAGGTGGAAGGGGCTGGGGGTAAAGGGTGCATTTGCAGTGCTGTGGATGAGCAAGATGGAGCACTGGAATGAAAGAAAGGGTTTGTTGGTCAGGGGGATGGAGATTTTGGAGGGTAGTCATGTCTGTGGTTAAGTGGCTGAGGGAGGTTGAAAGGAAAGACTGGAATGACTGGAATGGTTAGCGCCACCGGCAATGGCAGATTTCCTCTGATCGGGAGGAATCCGCTTCGTGGAAATTAGGGTCTGGACCGCCACGGCGAGGCAGAGACCCACCAAAAACCACAGGTGGGAGAAGCCTGTGGACGTGGGATTCGGCTGGCACCTTTTGCGCCTCCCCTACTCACGGGGAAACCCAGTTTCGGGGATCCGGAGCGACATGGGGTGAGCGGCGCGGTGCTTCGAATCGACTGCTCTTTTCACGGAGTGAAGCTGCATTGCTGTTGCCGGAGAGCGCTGACTTTTTCCTGTGGACAATTGGACTCTAAACAAGTACCCGTGAGTAGAACGGAAAATTGGATTATTAAACTTCGTAATTTGGCACCGAAGCGGGAAGGTCTAAACAGGAAGTCTGCCTTCCGCTTTTGTAAATAGTTTGAAGCAAAGACATCACAAGCTAAAGTCTGAAATTTTTTTTGTAAAGGACTAAATTTCCATCGGCTAAAATTACTAACCCCCCCTTGGAAGCAGGAGAAGAGGGGGGAAATCTTAGATTGTTCAAGCCTGCAGGAGAGAGAGTAAAAAAAGATATATTTCTACTGTCTTGAACCTGGGAACGGGCTGTCAAGAAGAGAGACGTTTTGGGAAAGTTCATTGACAGTGAATAAAACGTATGTTGACAGATAGTTAAAAAAGAGAAACATATTGATTCCAATGTTTCCTTTTGCACTTAAAAGGAACAAAATATTTGAAAAACGAAAGTAATTTTGTTGTCGGATCTGCTTTCAAAAGGACGGATACAAATAGAAATTGCTTCCTCTAGAGGGAGCTTTTGAAACTGCTGTTGGAGTGGACCTGGGGAACCCGCCAGCTGTAGAGATTAAAGATCGTGAGAACTAGACATTGACCTTGGACAAGAATGTGGGCAGAGGAAGCCTTAGTCTCTGCTTTTTGCAGGACAAGTACTTTGTTGGAGCAGCTTCATAAGAAGATGGATTTGATGACTACTGCAACTGAAAATTTTGGACAAACATTGAATACCTATATAGAAACCTCTCAGGAACCGACCCAGGAATCTGCTTGGATAGGGCAAGCTGCGGAGAAGATAAAGGAGGAGGTCGTTGTTGAACCTCAAGTAATGCAAGTGGAGAGAGCCGCGGCCTTGCAGGAACATAAGCTGTTGTTTCTGATGCCTGAATCTGGAGCGGGCCAGATTTGGAGAGATGGAGTCCCGTTTGGACTGGAGATGGGAAGTTGGATAGATTCCCCTATGCAGGGATGTTCTGACTTCTGGGATCTGGTTCTGGGCCAGGGGGAGACTGGAGTTGTGGGGGCCTTTAACTTTGGAGGGACATTGAAGCATGCTTTGAAATATCTTTTGAATTTTAGTGCTGACCATGGAGAATGGGCCAACCTGTCAAGAAGGGATAAAGACATTGTTAGGATGGAGTCCCCCCGAGATCTACTCCTCTGTGGCAAAGGAAGGAAATTAAGTACAAGATCAGCAAAAGACAAAGTAAAGTGCAGGTATAAACATGAAGAAGATCTGCAGAAGGGACATGGAAAAGAGTTAAGAGCCTTGGACAGAAGATCACCAGGTTGATGGACTAGATGGAATAGATAGAAAGGACTGACAGAACCCAAGACCAGGAAGATGAGACGGTGGATGAGGATTGGAAGAAAGTTTAAAAACTCATTTAGAGAAATAATGTAAAATTAATGACTGTTAGAAAAACGTTGGAATGAAATTATTTGGCTTTAGTAGAAACGCTATAAGGAGTTATGTGCAAATAAGTTTTAAGTCCTAGGGCTTTTTATGGTAAGAAAAAGTTAAAATAAATTAAGACAATTAAATGACAGAATATGGTGAAAGATGGAAAGGATTTGCTGAGATAATTAATAATTGGAATACAAAAAAGGAAGGTGTGAGGAGGTCGATGAAACAAGTTAATGAAAGATAAAGATATGGGAATATTGGATTTGTTTTTAATTCTTTTTTTGCTTTTGTTTTTGGTTTTGATGTATTGTGTGTTTTGTATTTTTTTTACTTTTTGTTGACTTGTATTGTTTAATTTCTTTTTTCTCTCTCTTCTTTTTCTGTTTTTCTGTAAATTTTAAATTCTTAATAAATATCATTTAAAAAAAATGAAAGGAAAGACTGGAATGGAAGGAGAGTGTTTATAACACTTCTAGGTAATGCTTACAGGTGAAACTCAGAAAATTAGAATATTGTGGAAAAGTTCATTTATTTCAGTAATTCAACTTAAAAGGTGAAACTAATATATGAGATAGACTCATGACATGCAAAGCGAGATCTGTCAAACCTTTATTTGTTATAATTGTGATGTTTATGGCGTACAGCTGATGAAAACCCCAAATTAACAATCTCAGAAAATTAGAATATTAAATGAAATCAGCAAAACAAGGACTGCAAATGGAGCAATATTGGACCTCTGAGAAGTAGAAGCATGCACATGTACACAGTACTTGGTTTGGGCCCCTTTTGCATCAATTACTGCCTCAATGCGGCGTGGCATGGATGCTATCAGCTTGTGGCATTGCTGAGGTGTTATGAAAGACCAGGAAGCTTCAATAGCAGCCTTCAGCTCTTCTGCATTGTTCGGTCTCATGTCTCTCATCTTTCTCTTGGCAATGCCCCATAGATTCTCTATGGGGTTCAGGTCAGGTGGGTTTGCTGGCCAATCAAGCACAGTAATCCCATGGGCATTGAACCAGGTTTTGATACTTTTGGCAGTGTAGGCAGGTGACAAAGTCCTATTGGAAAATGAAATCAACATCCCCATAAAGCTTGTCTGCGGAAGGAAGCATGAAGTGCCCCAAAATCTCCTGGTAGGCGGCTACGTTGACCCTGGACTTAATGAAGCACAATGGGCCAACACCAGCTGATGACATGGCTCCCTAAATCTCTTTTCTGATGAGAGCAGCTTTTGCATCTCACTTGGAAACGAAGGACCCAGAGTCTGGAGGAAGAATGGGGAGGCACACAATGCCAGATGCTGGAAGTCCAGTGTGAAGTTTCCACAGTCTGTGTTGAATCTCCATCACAGGTTAGAACTGCAGCATCCTTAAGAGATGAATATTCAGCCTCTGCTAATACCTCTTGGGCTTGCCGATCAGATCAGCGGTTCAAATCCCCATGAGGAGGTGAGCTCCCGTTGCTCTGCCCCAGCTCTTGTCAAGCTAGCAGCTTAAAAGCATACCAGTGCAAGTAGATAAATAGGTACCACTGCGGTGGGAAGGTAAACGGCGTTTCTGTGCTCTCTGGTTTTGGTCACAGTGTTCTGTTGCACCAAAAGCAGTTTAGTTATGCTGGCCACATGACTCAGAAAGCTGTCTGCGGACAAACACCGGCTCCTTTGGCCTGAAAGCGAGATGAGAGCTGCAACCCCATAGTCGCCTTTGACTGGACTTAACCACCCAGAGGTCCTTTACCTTTTACTTTTTACCTATACCTCTAGTAGAGAAGACCTCCCACATCAGACTGATCAACACAAAACCTGCTTGCATGTAGAATACCAGCTTTCAGAAAGGAAGGCTACAGAATGATGGGAACTGCAGCCACATTGGCTACTCCAGGTTTTGGATGTCTTGAAGAACACTAAAGCATTCTGCAGCTGCCATTTTTCAGTTTGTGTTTTAAATCTCCCAACTTTTTTGTTGTTGCTACACTGTACATTCCTGCTCTATTGCTTGTTTTAAATACTTCTATTTAAAAATTAACAAAACCTCCACATTGTCCTAAGAAAGGTAGGCAGTTTTTGTTTTGTAAGAATGAGGAAATGCTGAGAGAGGAAAGAGGCAACTTGAACGTTTGTGGTCTGTAGCTGGGATGCTGTCTTTGTGCAAACTGCTCTGACTGACAGACTGTAGCAACGGCCTTTGATTTCGGCAAGATTCCCTTCAACCGCTCCTGGTGTCACAACGTCCCAAGGATCCTATAAATATCGAAAGCTCCGTGTTGCCCTGGAAACCTTTGAGACTTGGTCTTGCTTGTAAGACTGAATCCAGCTTTCCCACATTGCTCCATCCCAGCTGAGTCATGAAGATCCTCCAATTGTGCCTGGCAGTTCTCTCTTTGCTGCTCCTGTCTTCCTCAGGTAAGGGAGAGGGACACTTGTCAGCCAATGGGAAGGGGAAGAGGAATCAAGACGTTGTTCTGTGGCCCTGCAAAGGGAACAAGCGTTTCCATTGCACACTTGTGCAGAACTGTAGCAGCTTGTGGTCCGTTTCAAGATTTCTAAACCATTAAGCAGCTTACAAATGCTTTTAAATAAATAATATAAACAAAAATAGCTAGAGATGTTTCTTTAGTGGACACTAACAGCCAGAAGATACTTCCCTGAACAAGCACCGCTGGCCTTCTAGCTAAATTTCAGACAGAGGCATGGCCCAGTTAGTGGTCTACCTGGCTCAATACAGTCTACACAGACTGGCAGTGGCTCTTTGGAGTGCTAGGCAAGTGTCTCTGCAAACCCTCCTTGGAGATTATGAGTTGATGCTTGGCTGCTCCACTGAAGAGGGAAAATACTTGCTCTCTGCTGCCCCAGGGGCAGGACTATTTGGCGTAAATAATAATAATAATAATAATAATAATAATAATAATAATAATAATAATAAATTATTTATACCCCGCCCATCTGGCTGGGATTCCCCAGCCACTCTGGGCGGCTTCCAACAAAGTATTCTCTTTGACATCTGGTGGGAGGGCGTTCCACAGGCCGGGCACCACTACCAAGAAGGCCCTCTGCCTGGTTCCCTGTAGCTTTGCTTCTTGCAGTGAGGGAACCGCCAGAAGGCCCTCAGCGCTGGACCTCAATGTACGGGCTGAACGATGGGGGTGGAGACGCTCCTTCAGATATACTGGACCGAGGCCGTTTGGGGCTTTAAAGGTCAGCACCAACACTTTGAATTGTGCTTGGAAACGTACTGGGAGCCAATGTAGGTGTTTCAAGACCAGTGTTATGTGTTCTCAGCGGCCGCTCCCAGTCACCAGTCTAGCTGCCGCATTCTGGACTAGTTGTAGTTATACATATAGTTATTCATAGATTTCAGTTGAACATTAGAAAAACCTTCTTGATGGTAAGAGCAGCTCTTGCTTACTGAAAAGCCATCTGTTGGGGAACGCTCATGTTCTGGATTCTCTACATTGTTCACAGGGTGGAGTAGATGACCCACTCGATGTCCTCCATCCTCGCCTATAAACCAATAGTAAATTCACTCGGAATCCTGGTTTCCATGTAGGCAAAACAACGCCATCCTTGCACAAAAGGGATGGTTGGGGGGAGGACCTCAAGCACAGCAGATATTCAAATAATCTTAAGGGTGAGGGACTCAGGAAACCTTCTCCCACCCAAAAAATTAGCCTGCAGACTAATGAGGCCCATTGTCTGTTTGTGGGGGTGGGGACTGGAGAGGAGGGTGCATGGAATGGTGTACCAGGGATGAGGGCATGGCCAGCTGAGACCATGAAAAGGAGCACTCTGAACTATAAGCACTTCGTTGAAGGTCCCATTTCTGATGAAGTGATTCTGAAGCAGGAATGGGGAGCAACTTCAGCTAATGGCTGAGAGGTGCTGGCGCCTCAACATCCAGAGAGTCGCGGAATCCCCCATTCCTGAACTTGTGCCTCCCTTTCTTCCTCTTCTGAATTTCCTCTCCTCTCCGCAGTGGACAGTAACCTATTTTTCTTCCTCTGTGTAGGATCTGCCCAGCTAATACCAGGGAATAGTCAACAATGCAGTGGTGTTTGCAGATTTGGAGGTTGTATCTATCCCTTCATTCAGAGGGGGAGATGTGGATGGCTGAGGAGATGTTGCGTAAGGTAACTTCAGCTTACCAGACAAGAGATCAAATGAGTAGCCAGAATATAAGTGTCATCAAAGTTTTTTTGATGCTTGCTAGACTTAACCAGACGTTTCTTTAGATGTCTGAAGGCAGCCCAGTTTAGGGAAGCGTTGAATGTTTAATAGAATATTTTATTTTAATATTTTGTTGGAAGCCGCCCAGAGTGGCTGGGGAAATCCAACCAGATGGGCGGAGTATGAAGATATTATTATTATTATTATTATTATTATTATTATTATTATTATGCTTGTTTGCATGCATTATTGTTGGCCCATCAAGAAGTCTTCCCCCAGGGCAACTTCCAAATGGCAATAAAATTTGATCCACAAAGGGATAAAATATTAAAATGGTTCGTAGTGCAAGTGCTGCCTCTAAAATGGGAGTAACTCTGGTGTTTTTGCGTTTCCTGATTTCTCAGGAAGGAATGATTGCTGCCTGCTTACCCAGGATCCTTTGAAAAATGGGAGATGTTCCCTCACCTTGAGAGCCACTGGATCCTGCTTAATCCCTTGCTGGAGACGCCTTCTGCTTATTCCCCAAAGAATCCAGATAAAAATTAATAAATGAAGACTTCAGAAAAATTCCATCAATTGTATGAGCTTGTTCCTTGTAATAAAAGCAAAATAAAGCACTCCATCCCCTCTGTTTCCTATTTTCAGGTATGAGTGCTGTTGCTTTTGAAGCCAAAATGGCACTTTTCACCTATGGGGAGGAATCCCCCCAAAACAGCTCCAAGAGAAGGACGGAATGACAAGGAGGAGAAGAAAGGAGGAGGGAATGGGAATTAAGGGGAAGCAATTTTATTCAGTTCACTTTTAAAGGCATTCCAACCTTATTTGCACTTTCTGAAGCAGCAGGTGAACTGAAACAGAATGTGAATACAGTGGTACCTCAGGTTAAGTACTTAATTCGTTCTGGAGGTCCCTACTTAACCTGAAACTGTTCTTAACCTGAAGCACTACTTTATCTAATGGGGCCTCCTGCTGCTGCCGTACGCTGGAGCATGATTTCTGTTCTCTTCCTGAAGCAAAGTTCTTAACCTGAAGCACTATTTCTGGGTTAGCGGAGTCTGTAACCTGAAGGGTATGTAACCTGAAGCGTATGTAGCCTGAGGTACCACTGTACTCTGTGCTCTGAATTTTTCAGTGCAGTTCCCCAACCACACAACTTGGGGGGAAATGCGTGCAATTGGGGAAAGTGTGCCTAAGTATGCATATATTAATGAAAACAAAAATGCATTATATCGGGGAATATTTCTATATTGGGGAATATTTAGTTGCAGAAATATGTATTTTGGGCAAGTTTCATACAAACAGGAAATTGCCACTGAAATGTTGATTTATTTATTTTTATTTAAAAAACTCAAATTTATGTGGAAATGTGGAGAACTGGATTTAAGATTGGAAAAATGAGAAGCCGAGAGAAACCACAAGGGAGAGATTCTCCCATCCCTAGAAGGAAAGGATGAAAGGGAGAGTCCTAGAGACGGGCATGGCTGGCTTGTTGGAGCAGAGAACAAAGGCACCTCCCCATAGCAACATTTTATTTTGCATGTTGGTCATGAAATCTCTAACCCACTCTTCTTCTCTTATATACGCTGGGGTATGGAGAAAGTAGGAAGCAAACAGTGGAGTCTCTCCCAATGCTTGGAAAATGTTCTTGCTTTCTGTTTCTTTACACTTCCAAGCCACAGTTTCTGGATTCTCCAGTAAAGGTAAAGGTAAAGGGACCCCTGACCATTAGGTCCAGTCGTGGCCGACTCTGGGGTTGCGGCGCTCATCTCGCTTTACTGGCCGAGGGAGCCAGCGTACAGCTTCCGGGTCATGTGGCCAGCATGACTAAGCCACTTCTGGCGAACCAGAGCAGCGCACAGAAATGCTGTTTACCTTCCCACAACCATTATTTCTCTACACAACCAAGGCAGTGCAAATGGTTTACACTCAGAAATAGAGAGAGAAAATAATACCAACAGAGGAGGAGTGGCATTTGCCTTCCCGCCATTTGCCTTCCCGCCGGAGTGGTACCTATTTATCTACTTGCACTTTGATGTGCTTTCGAACTGTAGGTTGGCAGGAGCAGGGACTGAGCAACGGGAGCTCACCCCATTGCGGGGATTCAAACGGCTGACCTTCTGGTCGGCAAGCCCTAGGCTCTGTGGTTTAATCCACAGCGCCACCTGCATCCCATTTCCTTTCAGTACTTTCCTGTAATTGTTTTCGCTCATTCATTCCCCGTACCATCAGTTCATATTCTTCTGAGTGCTTCACCTTCCTTTTCTCTCTTTTCGATTTCAACATCTGATTCTAGGTGAAATGGGAGTAATTCTGGTATTTTTCTTTTCCAGATATCTCAGGAAGGAATGATTGCTGCCTGCTTACCCAGGATCCTTTGAAAAATGGGAGATGTTCCCTCACCTTGAGAGCCACTGGATCCTGCTTAATCCCTTGCTGGAGACGCCTTCTGCTTATTCCCCAAAGCATCCAAATAAAAATTAATAAATGCAGACTTCAGAAAAATTCCATCAATTGTATGAGCTTGTTCCTTGTAATAAAAGCAAAATAAAACACTCCATTCCCTCTGTTTCTTATTTTCAGGTATGAGTGCTGTTGCTTTTGAAGCCAAAATGGCACTTTTCACCTATGGGGAGGAATCCCCCCAAACAGCTCCAAGAGAAGGACTGAATGACAAGGAGGAGAAGAAAGGAGGAGGGAATGGGAATGAAGGAGAAGCAATTTTACTCAGTTCACTTTTATAGGCAATCCAACCTTATTTGCACTTTCTGAAGCAACAGATGAACTGAAACAGAATGTGAATACTCTGTGCTCTGAATTTTTCAGTGCAGTTCTCCAACCACACAACTTGGGGGAAAATACGTAAAATTGGGGAAAGTGTGCCTAAGTATGCATATATTAATGAAAACAAAAATGCATTATATCGGGGAACGTTTCTATATTGGGGAATATTTATTTGCAGAAATATGTATTTTGGGCAAAGTTTCATACAAACAGGAAATTGCCACTGAAATGTTGATTTATTCATATTAAAGAAATGAAAGTTTATGTGGAAATGCGGAGGACTGGATTTAAGATTGGAAAAATGAGAAGTCGAGAGAAACCACAAGGGAGAGATTCTCCCATCCCTAGAAGGAAAGGATGAAAGGGAGAGTCCTAGAGACGGGCATGGCTGGCTTGCTGGTGCAGAGAACAAAGGCACCTCCCCATAGTAGCATTTCATTTTGCATGTTGGTCATGAAATCTCTAACCCACTCTTCTTCTCTTATATACGCTGGGGTATGGAGAAAGTAGGAAGCAAACAGTGGAGTCTCTCCCAATGCTTGGAAAATGTTCTTGCTTTCTGTTTCTTTACACTTCCAAGCCACAGTTTCTGGATTCTCCAGTAAAGGTAAAGGTAAAGGGACCCCTGACCATTAGGTCTAGTCGTGGCCGACTCTGGGGTTGCGGCGCTCATCTCGCTTTATTGGCTGAGGGAGCGGGTGTACAGCTTCTGGGTCATGTAGCCAGCATGACTAAGCCGCTTCTGGCGAACCAGAGCAGCGCACGGAAACGCCGTTTACCTTCCCGCTGGAGTGGTACCTATTTATCTACTTGCACTTTGACGTGCTTTCGAACTGCTAGGTTGGCAGGAGCAGGGACCGAGCAACGGCAGCTCACCCCGTCGTGGGGATTCGAACCACTGACCTTCTGATCGGCAAGTTCTAGGCTCTGTGGTTTAACCCACAGCGCCACCCGCGTCCCGGGTTCTCCAGTACGGACTGACAAAGACTTCCTTGGCCCAAGATAGATGATAGCCAGCTTGCTGATATTTGTAGTTCTGCCTTCCTTCCAAGAGGTGGAGTCAGAGATTCGCTTTCCTTTGCGAAAAAGGCAGAAGAAGAAGGAAAGGAAAGGTTCTCCTTTGGTGGGTGCATTTCAGTAAACAGAAAAAAAGAGAGAAAGAGAGACAGGGACAGAAAGAAAGCAGGGGAGCTCTGGGGTCTGGTTTTATTCTCTGTGTTACTCAGAGATGTTTAACTTGAACAACAATGAGTCTTTTAAAGGCTTGAGTTCTTAATATGGCATAAGCCAGGCTTCCCCAAGCTAGTGGCCTGGGTGGGCCTTATCATCCAGGAATTTATTTATTTATATAATAATATATTTTTAATAATTTATTATTTATACCCGGCCCATCACGCTAGGTTTTTCGCAGCCACTATTAGCGGCTCCCAACAGAATATTAAAAATACGATAAAAGACCACACATTAAAAGCTTCCCTAAACAGAGCTGCCTTCAGATGTCTTCTAAAAGTCAGATACAGTGGTGCCTCGCAAGACGAAATTAATTCGTTCCGCGAGTTTTGTCGTCTTGCGATTCTTTTCGTCTTGCGATTCTTTTCTTCTTGCGAAGCACGGTGTCGGGAAAGTTTTGGAAAAGCTTCAAAAATCACCAAAGTCTTTAAAAACCTCAAAAAAGGCTACCACACCGCATTCTATGAGTTGCTCCTCGAAGTCAAGTCGCAACTGTATTAACGGTGTTAAGAAAAAGGAAACAAACTTGCAAGACGTTTCCGTCTTGCGAAGCAAGCCCATAGGGAAAATCGTCTTGCGAAGCAGCTCAAAAAACAAAAAACCCTTTCGTCTAGCGAGTTTTTTGTCTTGCGAGGCATTCGTCTTGCAAGGTACCACTGTAGTTCTTTATTTCCTTGTCATCTGACAGGAGGGCGTTCCATAGGGCGGACACCACCCTCTGCCTGGTTCCCTGCAACCTCGCTTCTCACAGGGAGGGAACTGCCAGAAGACCCTCAGAGCTAGACCTCAGTGTCTGGGCTGAACGATGGGGGTGGAGACGCTCCTTCAGGTATACTGGGACAAGGCCGTTTATATTATTAAAAGTGCATGTAGGTAGCCGTGTTGGTCTGCCAGAGTCAAAACAAAATAAAAAAATTCCTTCCAGTAGCACCTTAGAGACCAACTAAGTTTGTCATTGGTATGAGCTTTTGTGTGCATGGACACTTCTTCAGATAGAAGAAGACACATCTTCAGTATTGAAGGAAGGAATTTTTTATTGACTATGCAGCCAACCATTTGATTTAATCTTATGGTATTTTTTTTAAAGCATTTTACGAGAAGGCAACAGTTTCTCTGATAAACCAGAATTTCGGCATCTTGTCAAAGATATTATTGTTCTTTGTTGCCTACCCTAAGATCGTTAAACAATGGTACCTTTTTATGATGAAAATTACTTACTAGTTCTATTGTGTTGTCAGGGAACATAGGAACAAAGGACACTGATCATGTTGGATCGGTCTATCTAACTCAGTACAGTCGTACCTTGTTGTCATACTAAATCCATTCCGGAAGTCTGTTCGACTTCCAAAACATTCAGAAACCAAGTTGCGGAAGCATATCAGCCTACCCTCACTTGCTTCTGTCCCAATCCTGCATTGTCCCACTGTTTTCTCAGAACATCTTCATCCCACTCCTGCCTTTAGAACCTTGGGAAAACAGCCAATGAAAGCAGAGTGACACCGACTTACAATTTTATTCTATAGTAAGAAATATAGCAATATCCTGACTGGGAACAGTTGACTGGGAACAGTTATGGACCACAGGTATGAAGTTCACGTCATGTAATACC